GAGCAGGCGCAGCGCGCCCCCCGCCGCCCCCGCGCCCGCCCCCGCCCGCCCCGGACCGCAGCATCGTGAGGGCGGCCGCGGGCACCCGGACCCCGACCCGCGTCTTGGAAAACTTGGCCAACTCCGCGAGAAGACCGGGCTCCGCCGGTGGGCACCTGGGCGTCCTCAGACAGCACCGACCGAGGGAGATTCCCCAGCTCGCCGCCCGCGCCGCTCAGGGGCGCAAACTCTGCGCCCGTCCCGAGCTGAGGTCTGGGGGGAGCCCGCGGGATGGCGCGGGGGGCCGGGTGGAGGTACCCGGAGACTTACAGCCCAGGGCGACCACCAGGTAGCGCAGGAGCAGCAGGAGGAGGCGGCGGCGGCTCCTCCTCGCCATCTTCCCGGCCCGCCCGGCCCGAGGTCTCGGGGTCCCGGGGGCGGAACGCGGAGCCTCTGGATCCGGGCGGCGCGGGACGAAGAGGAGCGCGGGTCTGGATGCGGGTCCGGTCCCGGGCTCTTCCAGGCGCGCCTTGCCGCGACTTGCTTGGAGGCAGGTCGGCCAGCCTTGGGGAGGGGGCTGAGGGCTGGGCTTTCTTTAAAGGGTGGGTGGGTTCCAGGGGGAGGGCGTGGAGTGGACCGAGGTGTCCGCCGGGTCCTAAGGAGGGGGCGGCCAGGCGCGCCCCCAGCCCGCGCTGATCCGCTTTGTCGTCCGGCCGCCAGCTGTCCTCGGCTCTGTGCGCGTGGGAGGGAGCGCAGGAGCTCCGCCCGCCTTGCCCGGCTGCTTTCTTCTCTTAGGCACCAAGCTACCCCCCGCCCCCCGGTTTTCACCCTGGCTCTGGAATTTGGGCAGTTTTCTATCCAGACGTGCAAAACCGCGGGGGAGCTCTCTGAGGCAGTGTAGTTGGTGAGCTCTGCCTCGGACGCGAGGGGGGAAATTTTTTTTTTTAAAAGGGAGAAGAAAAGAAAAGCGATCGTGTTTTGTGCTGGAAGTCAGGTCTCACATTTTGTTCCAGCCTTGGACTCGTCTCAGTACAACCTTTCTGCGCCCTAGAGGGCTAAGATGTGTTTTGTGTTCTTCGCTTTTTGGTGTGTCAGGAGTTGGAAGTTCGTCTAACGGTGTGAAATATTCATGGTGTTTCTTTCCAGTTATGTAACTGTTGATGCCTGTGGAGTTTTCCACGTGTTAAAACTCCACAGCTGCCCTTTGTCGGGTTTATTTTTGGCCCACGGTGCTTTTAGAAAGGAAACGCATTATGAATGCTCTGTTGCTTGCTTTAAAATCGACCTGCACTTAAGTTGCGCACACTTACAAGGCGGTTTTTGCATTTGCTCCTGGGGACCAAAAATGTCTGGTACAATCAAGAGGATGGAAGGGTTTGGATAGAGGCCGACCTCAGGAAAGAAATTGTTGTGCATCAGCTTTTTAAATGGTAGCATCATGCGTACAGTTCGGTGTAGAAGATAGCTGATTTAGTAGTGTGCGAATAAAGAATTCAGCTGGCTCTCTGGACAAAGGCGACTAGAGTTTAGACATGCAGAGCTGTGAGGAATGAGGCATCCCTGCGGTTGCCTTGGCGACAGGGATGAAAGCTTAGTCCCTATGGAGAGGAGAGAGGGAGGCCTATGGGGAAGTGGGGGGGGGGCAAGAAAGAAAAGTCAAAATGGCAAAATGTTAGCGCTCACTCTCCAGGCAAGCAAGAGGACGGGGCACAGACCTAGGGACGGACTTAGGCCAGTTTTACAGCACAGTAACAAAGATTTAATACTCGAAAGTGGTTGGTGTCTGTTTCCTTGTTCTTGCTATAACTTTGTCTTTTTTTTTTTTTCTCCTTCCTAAAGATACACACAACAAAGGGCATACTTACAACATTTATTTTGTGTCATCCTCAGTAGTTGGCTCCCTCATTTATTTGCCACCCAGCCAATGCATTTGTCAGATGGCTGCAGTGTGGACTCTGGGGTGGGGGGAATAAAACTGAGGCTTTGCTGCCAAAAAGCGTCACCGTCTTGAGCAAAGAGAATGTTTCCCATCTGGAAGACCTCTAATTCCACATAAGTGTTACAGGGAGGCAGCAAATAACATCAGCTTTTTTATTGTGTGCTTTCTCTGTGGTGGAGTCTGGAAAAGTGTAATATTTAATCCACCAATAACCCAGCAAGGGAGGAAATGCTCTCTTTCCCATGTTTCAGGTGAGAAAACTGTGCTGCGAGATGCTAAGCAGTTTGCCCAAGTGGCTAAGGGAATCATCCTCTGGCAGCGTGCATCAGGGCTTTTTGCTTAGCCCCTGAAAAGTGGGTAACATTTTAAAAGAAAGGACATAGGAATGGGCATTTGATTGAGTGAAGAACAAGGTCGAAAAGCAAGGTCTTAAAATTATGGCTTCTGTAGGAAAAGCGTGTTTGTACAGCAGTAGAGTAGGTGTGGAAGGGGGTGAAGCAGTAGAGGGGACAGACAGGGAGGTTGGACTAGCAAGATCTTGCAGGGTCGTACTACAGACTCTCAACCTTATCATGCAGGTACTGAAATTTTGATCACAGTAGGATAGGATAGGAAAAAAATCCGTATTTTAGAAGTATACTGTCTACTGTGGTAGCATCAAGATCTGAGTGGCTATATATGTTTGGATTTACTTATATTTGAATCCAATTATTTAGCGATGCTTGTGACATTTCTAACTCTTGAAAGGCGTGGGAAGTACATGCTACCGTGTTGGTGAAAGGCAGGTATAGAGGCATTTTACTATCACAGAGTTGTACCAAGTTGCTATAGGGTGACAACTGATATGAAAACGTTAGGGGCACATTAGAGATAAGAGAAATACAATGATAGGCAAATCCAAAACTATTATGATATTTTAAGCAAGGGATGAAGGTACAGAGTCAATGGTCACAGTTCATTAGGTGGAAAGCCAGGTATATTCAAAAACCTGGTTAACGGGATTATGCTATCAGTCAGATGTAGGAGTGAAAGAGAAAGCTATAGGTAACTGAGATTTCTAGCTTGGGTGGTGTTTTTACTAGTATCACTGACCAGATAAAAAAATATAAGGAACACATGTAGATTGAGGTGAAATGGTTAAGGGATGAGTAGCGCAGGCAGTCTGTTAGAGTGGTGGACTAGACCTGAGGAAACCCTCTGTCTTGACAAAAGAAAGAAATGTAAATATTATCAGTTTCTTATAAATAACACCTACACTATCTACTTCTCAGAATCCTGTGAAGGTTCATAAATAGGATTATCTCCTTCAAATTA